TTGAATGTCTCTCTAGCTTTAGAAAGTTTTCTTTCAGAATTTTATGGAATAGATTATCAATAAATGCCCTTACTAGTGTTGTCACCTTCTGGGATACTGATTATCTGGATATTTGGGTGCTTAATGGTATCTAGTATTTCTTGTATATTATGCTCATTTTTTTGTGTTATTTTCTCAGTCTTTTTGGTGATTTTTTTCTGGGTCAGAGGTTTTGGTCTCAATGTCCGAGATTTGATCTTCTGCATGCTCTAATCTGCTTTTAATACTTTCGAAGGAGGTTTTGATTGCCTGTATTACGGCCTTCATCTCTGAACAGTTCCATTTGCTTCTTTTTTATGGTGTGTATTCCTTCTTTTAAATTGTGAAAGAAATTCCTAACCTCTTGGAATTCATTGTCTCTTTTTTCTTGCACCTTCTGGAGTTCATTGTCTCTCCTCTCTTGCATCTTGTTTGTCACTATGAATCTTTTGAATTCTTTATCAGACATTTCCATGAGTTCCATTGCACTGTCTGTGGATAATGAAGGGTTGGTTGTTCTTTTCCCCCGGGGGAGTGATATTTTCTTGGTTTCTCAAATTTCTTGTGCGTCTGTGGTTGTTTCTGGTCATCTGATGGATTGTACATTTTTCCTAATTTCTTGGAGTTAATTCTAAGCATTCAGAGGCATGAGGGAGGAGGTGATCCACACTCTATCTGCAGTTGTTTCCCTGATGCTCATCAAGCAACCTGCACTTTTGCCTTTGAATTGGATATTACAAAGTCCTCACAGTTTCTAGGATACAGGTACACCTGGGCTGAACAACGGAGTTTCAACTGAGTTCAGAAGCGTGTGGGAGGAGATGAGCCACGCTCTCTCTGTCACTCCGTACTTCTCCCTGCTGCTCACTCTGCTTTCTCTCCTCCTGGAATTGCACATTTGGTGGTATATTCACTTTTGGCTAATTACTTAGAGAAGGTTTCTGCAACTATAAGATCATATGCTTCCCTTTCCTGTAAGGTACTTTTGAGACAGTTTTTCTCCTCTACTGTTTCACGACATGGTACCCACAGAAAGAGATTTTGAGTTCAAATATATAAAGAGGACTTTCTTCCTTCAGGCAACAGGTTTAGTAAGAGTTGAGAATTTCTATGACCCATAGTATTCAGATGCTTGACTACTATGCATCTAGTCTTATCTAGACACTCAGGGTGTGGAGGCTGAACAGAGTGAGAAAGTAAGGTGAAAAAAGGAAGGGGAAAAAAAGGAAAAGAAAACAAGAGGAAAAGAAAAAAAGACAAAAATAACTAAAAAGGAAAAAAAAAATGTTTTGAGAGGTTTTCACTATAGGGCATGTGTGCTTGCCAGACAGACAGACAGAGACGTAGAGACAGAAAGCGAGAAATCACCCCCTGGGAGGATGGTCACACCGCAATCCCTTCTCCTCCATTCTCCTCTCGGGATCTTGGGCACACACGCACACGCGCTCAGTGTGAGTTTAAGCCACCAGGTCTGAGACTGGAACTGCGGTGGACTACATGGGAGTCCAGTGACATAGTCATTTCGCCAACTGCTGGTCCCAGGAAAAAAAAATTTAACAACAAAATATGAAAACCATATGGTGTACTTGCACATCACATGAACATGGCAGGACACACCTCAGATTGAAATAGCTTCTGAAATAAGCAAGAGAAAGAAGAGTCAGAGGTGAGAAGAAGTGTTTTAAAATTTTTTTATGAAAGGAAAAATTTAGAGAGAGAGAGAGACAGAGAAGACAGAGGTTGCCCTACCTGTCTGAGCTTTCTGGAAGATGGGGTTCAGAGTAGAGATTCATTCACCTTGGTCCCTGAAAACCTCAGGACACACCTCAGATTGAAATGGCTTCTCTTCTGTTTGAGCTTTTTCGGGTCTGTGGTATTTTCAAGTTTGGCCCTAATTTAGTATTTTTTGGGGAAGACTTAATTGATCTATACACACAACAAAGTAAATTGTGATGTAATAAATGTTAAATTGTATGTTTGAGCTTCATACATTTTTATAAGATGAACATGCAGCATGATAATTGCATCCAGATTAAGAAACAATATTACTAGCATCTTAGAAGCATCCTTTTTGCCACCTCCAAAGCACTGCCTCCCCAAAATGCCTACTGTCCTGTTTTCTAAAATTACATGTAAGTTTGCAACAAATTTTTTTAGTTATTTATTTTTAATTTTATTTACTCATTTTTTGTTTTGTTTTGTTTTTAAATTTTGACAAGAGAAATACACACAGAGAGAGAAAGTGAGAAAGCAAACCACTAGGTCCGAGACTCAAACCGTGGTTGGCCATGTGAGAGTGTCCAGTGCCTTAACCACCACACCACCTGCTGATCCCACGACAAATCCTTTTAAAATTAGTAAGTGTACCTTACTCATACTGTACCTTTTATTGAAATGTTTTTATTTCCTTGGTGGTCTCTTGTTTATTCTTTTGTGTACTTCATGTGTGACTTGTTTTTCACCCTTTGTTTACCCTTCTATTGTACATTATTCATAATTCTTTTATTTTTTAAAGAAATTTTTACCTTAGGGCACATATGCTTACGAGACAGAGAGGGAGAGACAGAGAGACAGTGAAAGAGAGAGTGACAAATCACTCCCCAAGGGAGATGGCCATGCCTCAACCTTTTCTCCTCTATTCACCTCCTGAGATCTTGGGCACATACACACGTGTGCCCAGTGTGATTTTGAAGCCACCAGGTCTGGGACTCAAACCATGGTCAGCCATGTGGATGTCCAGCGACGTAAATGCTATGCTATTTGCTGGTCCCCATAATTCTTTTATTAACATACATTCTACACAGTGTGATATATATATATATATTTTTTTTTGGAGAGATTTTCACTGTAGGGCGCGTGCGCTAGCCAGACAGACAGAGAGAGACATAGAGACAGAAAGCGAGAAATCACCCCCCAGGGGGGATGGTCACGCCGCAATCCCTTCTCCTCCATTCTCCTCTCGGGATGATCTTGGGCACGCACGCACACACGCCCGGCGTGAGTTTTAAGCCACCAGGTCCGGGACACGAACCACGGTCGACTACGTGGGAGTCCAGCGACATAGCCATTACGCTAACTGCTGGTTCCCATATTTTTAAAAATAATTAATATCTCTCTACAAACTGGTAAACGCCTTGAGGATAGTCATTAATCTTTGAATTTTATCACATTTAGCAGAATGACTTGCATATTTTTTTATCAACTCTAAAAAAATAATTAAATTGACAGTTGTTACATTATTATTAAAATATTTATGAATATAGTGTTTGAAGATTGTAACAGTATATAAGGCATAGGACCAAGCTTTTCCAATTGAAGAAACTTTGATTGTTAAGCTGAGGAATGAATCAGCAAATTCCATCCTGTAGAGCTTGGAACATTAGGGTCCTTGGAGTCATTACAAAGAGTTTGAGATTCTATATGTAAATAAAGGATTTTGTGGGCTAAGTAATGTCACATACCTGGGTACTACCATTTATAAATATCTATAAATGCAACTGTGGTTTATAAAGTACAAATTAAAGATGTAACTGAATTTACAGTAGCTTTTTGACATTATGTTTTTGTTTTATTGAGAGGTTTTTGCTATAGGGCACGTACGCTCGCCAGAAAGAGAGAGAGAGAGAAAGAGAAAGTGAGAAATCAGCCTCCAGGGGGAATGACTATGCCGCAATCCCTTCTCCTCCATTCTCCTCTCGGGATCTTGGGCACACACGCAAACGTGCCTGGCATGAGTTTAAGCCACCGGGTCTGGGGCTCAAACTGCAGTTGACTACATGGGAGTCCAGCGACATAGCCATTACACCAACTGCTGGTCCTAAAATATTCTTTTTTGCTAAAGGAAACCAATTTGTGTTTTCTTTCTTTCTTTCTTTCTCTCTCTCTCTCCCTCTCTCTCTCTCTCTCTCTCTCTTCCTTCCTTCCTTCCTTCCTTCCTTCCTTTCTTCCTTCCTTCCTTCTTTCTTTTCTTTCTTTCTTTCTTTCTTTCTTTCTTTCTTTCTTTCTTTCTTTCTTTCTTTCTTTCTTTCTTTCTTTCTTTCTTTTTTGGAGGTTTTTTTCTATAGGGCGAGTGCGTTTGCCAGAAAGAGAGAAAAAGAGAAACATAAAGTGAGAATTCACCCTCCAGGGAGGATGGCCAAGCCGCAATCCCTTCTCCCATTCTTCTCACGGGATCCTGGACATGAACACACACGCACCAGGCAGTTTGAGCCACTGGGCCCGGGACTTGAACCACAGTCGACTACATGGCGAGTCCAGCAACATAGCCATTATGCCAATGCTGCTCCCTTGACATTATGTATTTTTGAAGTAATAGACACTAAGTTTTTTACATTTAAATTTATTTATTTACATTCATTTACTATACATCATTATAGCATACAAAATGAGATTTTCCATCCAGAATATACTGTATATTGGCTCATTCAAGCACATCAACCAACATATGTGCTATCATTAACAAATAATTTTCCATTTCTTGTTTCCTGTATATTTTGCTTTTTTTTCCATCCTTGCTTCTCTATCTCTCACCCTCTGCCATCTTCCACCCTCCTTCCACACTGTCTCTGGTATCCATGGTTGCTTTCTATGCCTTTTTTGCCCCGCAATTTATTGATTCACTAAAGATCTTAATTAATCTAAATATTTCCAATAGCAAGCGCAGCTGATATATACATATCCATGAACACAAGTCTGACTTTAGGCATAAGCCTCAGTGAGTAGAATGAATATACTATAAAGTAGTACCTAGCTGGGGCTATATAGCTTACTGTAGTCATCAAATAGGTATTTTTAATGCATTTTTTTAATTTCAAGGAAAACAGTTTTTGTGGGGTTTTTTTCTGAAACACTTTTAAAAAATTAATTAATTTACATTCATTTCCTAAGCATCGTCACAACATACAAAATGTGATTTCCCATCCAGAATATACTGCATAGTGGCTTAATCATGCATGTTATCGTCAATAATTTTCCATTTCTAGTTTCATATATTTTTAATAGATGCTTCAGAAGTAGTTGCTGCTGTGGGATCACTGGGTTTACATATTTCTGAAGCTCAGGCAAACGATATTCTGAAAAGGTCAGCCCTTTTGTTTACTTATTTATTTATTAAAAAGCTTATTTTAAATTTGTTTGTTTTTACATGTCATACTGTTTCCTTTACAAGAAAGTTTTGAGCATTTATGATATGGTACAATGTCTGACTGTTCCATATATTTTAATCTTTTATTTTTTCAGAGATTTTTGCTACAGGATACATATGCTCGCTGGAGAGAGAGAGCGACAGAAAGCGAGAAATCACCCCTCAGGGGCGTGGCCATGCTGCAATTGCTTCTCCTCCATTCTCCCAGGATCTTGGGCACTCATGCACATGTGCCCAGCATGAGTTTTTATTTTTTTTTTCTTTTTTTTTGGGAGAGCTTTTTGCTGTAGGGTGCGTGCGCTCGCCAGACAGAGAGAGACAGAGACAGAAAGTGAGAAATCACCCCCCAGGGGGGATGGCCACGCCATAATCCTTCTCATCCATTCTCCTCTCGGGATCTTGGGCATGCACGCACATGTGCCTGGCGTGAATTTAAACCACCAGGTCCGGGACTCGAACTGCAGTCGACTACGTGGGAGTCCAGTGACATAGCCATTATGCTAACTGCTGGTTCCTGCCCAGCATGAGTTTTAAGATGCTGGGTCCAGGACTCAAACCATGGTCGACTACATGGGAGTCCAGGAATATAACTGTTACCCCATCTGCTGGTCCCATCTTAAAAACATTACATGGGGCCAGCCTGTGGCCTGATGGTTAAGGTCGCTGGATTCTCACATGTCTGATCCTTATGTTTATTTTTAATAGTTTCTGTTGTGTTTTATACTGCATGTTAGAAACTAATTGCTATAAATATGACAGTTCCACTTATTCTATAACTTTGTGAATGAACCTGCTTGCTGTATTTGCTTAATTCTGTCTCACTTTGAACTTATGTTAAAAACAACTTGCAAAGTCATCCCATAGGATGAACGCTTAAGCAGCAGAAAGCACATGAAATTGCACGTACTCCCAGTGTAATGCATTTTCAGTGTGTGTAATGGAACCCTCTCTCTTTGTGCGGCAGGAAGGATGGGTGACAGATCAGGGTGAACTCCTGGTTTCCCATTATTGCTTGAACCAAACAAGTCTATATTCATTTGTTTTATATCTTAACTTCCGTGAAGATTTCTTTTAAGGAAAGAATTCCATGGTTGAACCATATCACTTTCATACAAAGAGACTGAGACAGTTTCCTTTTTTTTTTTTTTTTTTTTAAACTTTTTGCCTTTGGGTGTGTGTACTTGCTAGAGACAGAGAGAGGGGGAAGTAAGAAATCACCCTCCAAAGGGGATAAGCTATGCTACAATCCCTTCTCCATTCTCCTCTCTGGATTTTGGACATGCATGCACATGCGCCCAGTGTAATTTTCAATCTGGCAGGTCCTTGACTCGAACCATTGCTGGCTGTGTGGGAGTCCAGTGCCTTAGCCACCATAGCATTTATTGATCCAGAGACAGTTGACTTTAAGAAGTTTTAGAAGAGAAGGAACAAGAGTGAAATAGAGAAAGGTTGAGAGATGAAAGGAAAACCTAACTCTGGATCCCTCTATGTACTCTTCACCTGCCAGTCTTTTCTCCTCAGAAACACAAACTGTTGGGTGATTGCTATTGCAGCCCCAGAGGCGCTTGATGTTAGTTAGTATGCTCATTCTTGAATTTCCCTGGGTTTGAGAAGTAAAGAACTGTGAAGTAAGCACTTTAATTTGCTCTAGGATCCTCTTGAGGTGGTACATATGTTACCAAACCCACTCTTTCAGTTGATCCTTTAAATTACAGCAAAGTTTGGATTTAATCATAATGTTGCCAACTGTCTAGTGCTTTGATACACCCTCTGCATTGAGTAGGGTGTAATTGGGGTAGAATGGAATATTTGGTGGAATCTGTAACTTTAATAACCTCAAGCAGTGGTCTTCTAGATTATTTATTTTATTCACGTGTGCCTGTGTGTGTGCGAGACAGAGCGACAGAGTGAGAGGAAGAAAAGCACCCCTGAGAGGGAGTGGGAGAGAAGCACCCTAGACAGGGTCTCATCACACCATGATCTTTCTCTGGCGCTCCAACCCAAGATCTTGGGCACATGCGCAAGCAGCTGGTATGTTTTCAAGTTGACACTGGGATCTGGATCTGTGGTCAGTCACATAGCTTCTTGCATGCAATTCAATTTTCTATGACTTGCCACCAGACTGGGCCTTGTTTTCTGATTTTTTAACAAGGATTAGAGATGTGTTTATAACTCAAGAACCAGGTAAATGGTATGGAGAAGTTGAAGAGATAGAAGCTGTATTGCCAGATAAGATACTACTTCAAAGATAATTCTTGGAATTCTTTTTTTTTTAATTTTATTTACATTTTTTAAATACATTCAATCACATTATTTAGCTTACAAGGTGATCATATCAATATGTGAACATTTCTCCCCGGTCCAGTTGATCAAAATATAACAACACTACCTCCCTGTCTCAACAATGCTGTCTCCGAATCCCTCCTCCAAATGTTTTTCCCCAGGCCCCACTCCTCCACACACACCACATCTAGCATTCACACCCATCTCTTGTGTTTGTACATCCTTTAGCCCATCAGTTTCAGTTATAGAGTGCGGATACTTGGTATATATTAAGTGGGGACATATAGTGTCTCTCCTTTATAGCCTGGCTTGCTTCACTCAGCAGTAAATCTTTCATATTCTTCCATTTTCTGTCAAAAGCCAGGTTTTTTTTTTTATGGCTGAATAGTATTCCATAGGATATATGTGCCACAGTTTTTCAATCCATTCATCCATACGGGGGCATTTGGGTTGGTTCCATGTCTTAGCAATTGTGAAAAGTGC